TAGAGAGGCCTGAAAGGCCTATGAAGCGGTATATAAGTCTACTGCTATTGCTATTGCTATTTGCATGCAGGTTGAATCCTTGATTCATTCAGTTCAAGAAAGCTGTGGAGAATGATCTGAAAGAATCTCTGCTAGAGACACTGGGAAGCAGAAGCTGCTCAAAATAAACAGCATTTTGTTGTTTGTATGTCATATTCCGACACTGCCAATCAATGAAGTCCTTAGAATGATACATGGAAACATATGAATAGATAAATTTAATAAATACAAATATCATAAAACATAAGATATTTAATATCATAATCGCATTTTACATAAATGTAGTATATAATATAATAATATTAAAAACAACAATAGAGTAATATCATTTTCTTGCTCCATCTTCTGGTGCCTGATGTAAACTTTGAGTTTGAGGATGTGCTTGTGATGCCAAGGTAATAGTATGACTGATACCTTTAATGTGTGTTTAGCCCCTTTTCAAACGGCTGACTTACAGTAACAGGGCAACAGAATACCTCTGCACCTGGAGCTTGTTAATTGAGCATCTCAACAGGTGGTTCAACTGCCATTCACCAACCCTTTACCCATTCCTGCCCCACCACACCTTAAGGAGAGTTAATAGGTGTTGCTTTTTCCACTGACAGGTGATGTTCAATGGCAGGAAAAAGAAAGCAAGACAAAATAGGATCAGCAACGGCAACAGCACACTTTATGCCTGCACTCCTTTCTACCAGCTCCTTGACTGGTTATGCCTCAGTACACATCGAATGCAGTTTGTACTCCCAACAATGAATTACTTCTGAACTGGATCACTGATATTTAAATCATGTTGAATTTACATCGTAGGCAAACTCCCAAGATCTCTCTGGGTTTTGCAGGGGTAAAATGCACCCGGAAGAAACATTCTGCACAAATGAATAATCAACACCCCAATCTACAGAAATTGCTAGCTAAAGCCCAGCATCCATTGGCACTCTAGTCAAAATGTTCTTTCACACAGTTCTCTCTTATGTGTAGTCAAATACAAGACCAGCTCGGAGGTATCAAATGTACCATACGGGGGAGCCCTAAGGCAAAAGCCAGTATGAGTTTCCTGTGAGAGGTTATGAGAGACAGAGAGAGAGAGAGAAAGAGGAAAAAATGGGAATGAAAGAAAGAAATCTGCTTTAGGCCATATGGGTACATTCCAAATAGCATCGCAGTACAAAAAAACAAACGGGCCTCCTTGCCTACAGGCAGAGTACGTTGAACACAGTTTCTCTTATTATTTTTTTCTTTTTTACCCAGCCAGTACCAGATGATTTGTTTTTACGGAGTCTGGTTACAGGCTGTAGAAACATATTGGGGCAGGGAGGGGGAAGCAGGGAGGAAATTGCAGGCCCTAAAATTTTCTCTGAAGGCTTTGAAGCGGGGATGAGGGTTTATTCCTCACACCCGTCTTAAACCTGGGCCACCCAGTGACGCTTTCTGAGAATGTGCTCGCGTCTGTTAATGACTGCAAAGAAGTCACAGTTCAGAGAAAGTTAAACATCAGAGGATTGAAGTAAAGCAGGGAAAGCAAAACAGAACATTCTTGGGCTGCCATCTCAGTTAGCTTTCAAGTGACATAAGCAAGCATTGAATGGAAAAAGGGGGGGAAAAGGAAAACATGACACCCAAGTAATTATTTCCATTTTCCCTTTAACTGTTCTCCTCTCAAACCGCACAAAGATATTATTTCTAAACAGAACGGATTATATCTTGACATTAAAGCGTACAAAAGAATTGAAGCCTTTGAACTATGGTGCTGGAGAAGACTCCTGCAAGTCCCTTGAACTGCAAGGCGATCAAACCGGTCAGTCCTAGAGGCTGGTCTTTAGAAGGTCAGATCCTGAACATGAAACTCAAATACTTTGGCCACCNCCCTATAAATAAATACCTGGGTAACGCCGGGTTATCAGCTAGTATTTTATAAAATGAAGAGGTTGCATGGTTTGAAAAAGACTGAAAAAATCTTGGAATTAGACCAATGTGTCAATGTAACAGCAATCGGCAGAACGTTATAATTTTCATTTCTAAACTTGATCGTTGGTTTTCATTACTCTTACAAGCTTAGTTTAAAAAAAAAATTACATTAACTACTAGAATGTTTAGGATTCTAGCATATCCAGCATAGCTGACAATGTGCTTTCAAAATCTTTAAGCCATTTGTTGGGGCACCAAGGCAGAATTCCTGCACCATCATTTTGAGGCATCGATAATGGTTAATAAGTTGAATTTCCTAAGTTACTGCTTGTTAACAGAAACGGATTAATTTTCCCTAAAATCTTTTATTAAACGCAGTTGTAAGATCAGCCAGCAGGGATAGAATTAGCTGTTTAATATGTGTCAGTCAGACAGTGTTAAAAATTATGTACATGCTGAGAATGGATTTCATTAAGAAAAGTACTCAGAGGTTTGTTGTGCAATTGCTCTGCCGCGATTTTGGCAAAATCAGGGGTGCCTGCAAGGCACGGTAACAAAGTCAAGTTTGGTGGCCGTAATGCAGGAGGTCCTCGTTTTAGCGACTGCCTCATTTAGCAACCATTCCCACTTAACAAAGAGGATGAAAAAGCACAACCCTGGCAGGTCTGCTGAATCAAGAAAGGTTGAATGAAGACTGTCACTTAAGTCACAGTTTCAATTGGCAACTACCTCGTTTAACGACCAAGTTGCTGGTCCCAAGTACGGTCGCTAAAGGAGGACGACTTGTAAGGTGACAGACACTCACCCAATTTTATGCAGGTGCGCTCAAAGGGGGAAACTTTTGATCGCAACATCACAGCCACATCACTTTGGGCTTTTTAACCACATCCTTTACACACACACCTGAGTAGGAAGATGTATTGTCTTCTATTTGTCATCTTTACCTCTTTTCCCACCAATTCTTTTATCTCTTTTCATTTAAAAAAAAAAAAAAACCAGTGTTAGCAATGAAGTGTCAGAGCCCTGCTTGGATAAGCTTGCAATCCTACACCCACTGAACAAAAGCCCCCTTGAATTCAGTGGGTCTGGCTTCGAAGCAGAGTAGAATACAGTTGCACAGCCAATATGCTTCACATTTTCTCAGGTGTCTCAGCTTCATGCAATTCCAGGTTAAAAAAACCAACAACTGCAATCCACGCAAAGCCATTTAACCATGCTCCTGTTCTTGGGTTGGACCGAAGCTCAAAACTACAGTTGAAAACAGGTATAAGTTTGTAAGGGAACTGCAGCTGTCAAACTAACTTTCCACCCCTCCTGGCTCCTGTATTTTGAGGGACAGCTGAGCACCCAAAGCATAAGACATGCAAGCCTCAAACTGTGTGTCACGCTTTAGGCGGTCCAAGATTTCAAGTGCCGCACGGACCTTTATGGATATCTCTGTGGTTTGCGTCCTTTTTAGATATTTTTAAATTCAAGAAGAGCCACAATACTCCCAAGGCACAAGAAAGGACAGTAACCCGCACTCTTCAATCAGGGCTGTCCACATTTGATTTTTTCTCTCCATCCAGTCAAACTGCGTTTCTTTCCCATAATGACTTTTGGCAGGGGGGAACTATAAAGTAGTTTTTAGTGAAAGGGAACCAAGTTTTTAGATCAGCTTAAAGGTAAAGGTTCTCTTTGCACATATGTGCTTGTTGTTCCTGACTCTAGGGGGCGGTGCTCATCTCCGTTTCTAAGCCGAAGAGCCAGCGCTGTCCAAAGATGACTCCATGGTCATGTGGCCAAGCATGACTAAATGCTGAAGGCGCACAGAACACTGTTACCTTCCCACCAAAGGTGGTCCCTATTTTTCTACTTGCATTTTTTACCTGCTTCCAAATTGCTAGGTTGGCAGAAGCTGGGAGAAGTAATGGGATCTTACTCCGTTATGCAGGGCTAGGGATTCAAACTGCTAACCTTCTCATCGACAAACTCAGCGTCTTAGCCACTGAGCCACCACACCCCTTCAGCTTACTGGTCCTTACAAATGGTTAGACCCAGAGGCGGGCTTCACACAATTCAACAACCGGTTCGCCTAGCGCAGAACTGAAAATGTGAGCACGCGTGTGCGCCTTCCGCGCTTGCACGCAGCTTCAAACACACGGCGGTTTCATGTGCGCAGCTTCCAGCACACCTTCACGGGCAAGCCGCAAGTGAGTAGAGTGGGTGAGGTGCGGGAAGCAGCTGGGCTGTGATGGTGGGTCGTGAGCCAGCGAATGGGATATATAGGATGGGATAGCACTGGGGATGGACGGACAGGGGGACCCAGCTGGTGGTCGGAACTACCAGTATGCACAAACCAGTCCGAACCGGCAGCAATGCACTTCTGGTTAAGGCCATCTTCCTTTGACTTATTTCATTTTCTCAGTGGTGAAATTCAATTTTTTTGCTACCGGTTCTGTGAGCGTGGTTTGGAGGGCGTGGGCAGGGGAAGGATACTATAAATTCTCCATTCCCACCCCACTCTGGAGCCAGCCAAAGGTGGCATTTGCCAGTTCTCTGAACTATTCAAAATTTCCGCTACTGGTTCTCCGAACAACTCAAAATTTCAGAACCGGATGGATTTCACTCCTGCATTTTCTAAAAAAAAACTCTCAGGGACCGGCAGATGGGATTGCATATGTCAAGTATCGCACAATTAAATCTAATCATAACAAAGAAGGAAGATGCCCTTGGATCCAAAATAATTGTTCCGGTTCAAGCTGATATCGGCCAGCAACATAGCCCAAATGCCGTTGGCTCAGGAAGTGTCGACCAACTTGGTGATTTTCACACCCCGGAGAGGTATTTGATATGAGTTTACATTCCTTGGTGGTTTTGCACTTTGTGTTTTGCCTCTATATTTTCCTTTCGTCTTATTCCGGTGCCAAGGAAGAAAAGACAAGTTTCCAGAGTCGCTCGATGGACACTTGAGGCAGCTCAGTCCTAAAAAGGGGAGGCGGTGGTGGGCTTGCAAAAGGCAAAGGGAGGCATTTTATATAGGGGGCAAAGGTGCCGGTCGGGAGGGGAAAAGTTGTTCCGATGCCCTTGAGGTTTTCACCGCTGGGGGTGGAGGCCTGCAAAGAGAAGACAGGGTCAAACCTCAGCGTGTGGGTCAGGAATTCCCCATTCACATTATTAAATTAGGGAGGGGGGGACAGGAAAGTATTAAAATGCAAGTATGCAAGTTAAAAAGCGATATAAGTGGAATTGTTATTAGAAATAAAATATAACAGAGAAAATTATTTGTATGAAAATATAAAGTTGGGATCGCTGAAATGCCACCCCAAGAACCTATCAGAGAAAGCAAATAAGCAAGGGCAACAACAGAAAGGAGGGAGGATAAGGTGGGAAAGGAAGAAAGGGTAGAGCAGAGGGAATAAGGGCGGGGAAGTAAGAGTAGGAGAGAGGGTAAGTTGGAGGAGAAGAGAGGAGGGGGAAAGAGAGGGGAAGAAGAAAGGAGGGAGGATGAGGAGGGAAAGGAAGAAAGGGTAAAGCAGAGGGAGTAAGGGGGGGAAGTAAGAGTAGGAGAGAGGGTAAGTTGGAGGAGGAGGGGGAAAGAGGGGAAGAAGAAAGGAGGGAGGATGGGGAGGGAAAGGAAGAAAGGGTAAAGCAGAGGAAGTAAGGGAGGGGAATTAAGAGTAGGAGAGAGGGGACGAGGAAAGAGAGGGGAAGGAGAAAGGAGAAAGGAGAGGAGGAAAGAAGAAGGCAAAGAAGAGAGGTTGAGAAGATGAAAGGAGCAAGATTGTTGCAAAATAAGATGGAGGCATGGGGTGTCAAGAAACTGACCCAAACTGTATTCTACATATTTGTAAAAAAAAAATAACAATAAAGATTATTGATGAATAGATAAATGTTAATATAAGAATGTATATTTGTGAATGAATTTGAAGGAAAAAAATAAACACTTTTTTAAAAAAAAAAAAGGAATTCACCATTCCTGGTCATCAGCAAAACTGGGAACCAAAAGGGATTGGCTGCCACAATCTGCATGGCCAATGATGTGGGGCGAAGGGACACTGAACACCTACAACTTAGATAGAACATAAAATAAGGGAGTTGGAAGGGAGGTCATCTAGTCCAACCCCCTGCTCGAGCAGGAGATCATATACCTTTTCAGACAAATGGCTTCCCAGACACTTCTTAAAAGCATCCAGGGATGGGGCAGCCACAACATCTGAAGGCAAGCCGTTCTACTCTGGTTGATTTTTTGCACTGTTAGGAAATTGCTTCTCTCTATTCCTAATTCAGAGTAATTCTCTGAACACATCTATATGTACAAAAAGGTGTGTGTGTGTGTGTGTGTGTGTGTGTGTGTGTGTGTGTTTTGTAGGATAACTCTGGAACGCCTTGAACAAACTTGGTACATAGATGACTTACTCTCTGCAGACAAATACTGTGGAGGTAAGACACCCCTAATGCCCCTTGGGGATGGTGTGTTCTGTTAAGATGCAGCCTGTTGTGCCTTAAAATGGTTTCTACTGTACTGCTGTAAAATGGCTTCCACTGTGCAGTGTAGTGGAGTTGCAGTGGTAATGGCTTCACAGTACTCCACAAGGGGGCTCCCTCTGGAAAGGGGGAAAATCTAACATTAGAAATTACATTTGGTCCAGACATTTTCCCCCTCTATAAATAAATAACTGGGCAATGCCAGGTTATCGGCTAGTGTTAGATATACGCACAGAGAAATTGTTAAAATTAAGGGGTGTACAAGGATTGAAAGGGGGCCTTAGATTTGAGGAGCATTTAATAAAGGCTAGGTTCGGCCTGAGAGCTGGCCCAGGGTAGCATAGTGAAGCCAGAGGGAGGGCTGGAATAGGTAGAAGCCCAAAGCATTTTCACAAAAACCTTCCCAAAACCAAGATAGAGCTAGTGTTGCAACCCTCAGCTTTTCTCCATCTCCATCCTCCCAATATACTGACCTTGGGGGGACACGCTGTTGGTCCATGGATGATACCACCTGTATGGGAGAAGGACATAAAGGAGGAGTCCAATTCAGTTTTACAAGAGATAGTCGATGAATGGGATAAGAATTGCCCAATGTCTGTTGGCCTGTACTTTGTGTAAATTCCTAGAAGATACTGTATTTTTTGGAGTATAAAATGCACTTCCCTCCCCAAAAAAGAGGCTGAAATTTGGGTGCATCATAACTTCGAATGTAGATTTTTGGAAGCTTTTTTTCAGCCTTAAAGAGGTGCTAACAAGTGAAGTCATCCTCGTCAGCACCTCATTAGGGCTGAAAAAAAGCTTCAAATATTTTTACTACAGCATACTGTTGGAAAAATTTCCCGGGAAGATGAAAGATTTGAAGATTGCCTTAAGAGGTACTTCTTTCGTCCAATTTCCATTTTTGGGAGATAATCCTCTCATGCGGAAGGCAGAGAGTTTCTGTGACTATGTAATTTCTATTCTTTGGAGGATATTCCCTTTAAGGGCAAGGCAGGGATTTTTCCTATCTCAGTTTTCTCAATGGTTTCTTTCAGGCAAGTGCTGGGCTGGTTTGTTGATTCAGCTTTGTAACATTTTTAGAGGTGTGAAGTGCTTTTGGCTGAATGCCAGACATCTAGTTAAGTGGCAAAAAGTGTCATTTTATTATACTATTGTGTTTGCTTGCTTTTCTGGTGTTATGGAATGAATACCTGGTAAGCAGGATTTGTTTGGCCTATTTTCCTCCCCAAAAACTAAGGTGCATCTTATATTCCGAAAAATACGGTAGTTAAGTTAGCATTGTAGACATTCGGAACCATCAAAATACCTTGTCCAGCAATTTTCCTGCTCCACCTGCACAGCCTTTTTAAGGGCAAACAGGAAGAGGAACTTATTAGAAAGGAGTGCTGGCTTTTTATAGCTCCTATTCCGTCTAACTAAACAGAGAGTGGGGCAGTGGCCTAGAGGTGGCGTTTTCGCCTCACAATCAGGAGACTGAGTTTGATCCTAGGCAGAGGTATTTCTCTCTCTGAGCACGATGAGAATGTACCTCCTGAACAAAACTCTGCATTGGCAACAGGAAGGGCATCCGACCATTAAACACTCCATTCAGTTGCCCAGACTCCATCCCAAAAGGGATGATGGGGTCGTGAAAAGATGATGATGATTCCTTCAAACTGGAATTCCTCTTCCCATTTTTCCTTAAAAACCACCAAGATTAGTGAACAGTGGAAATATTTGCTGTTCTTACCGCAGACGATGATGCACTCCTGGAAGAATACGGAAAGTTGCGTGGACATTCGGTTCGAACAGCCTGCTGCCTACTGGTATCCGATCTGTGGAAGCATCTAAACAAATGGATGCATAAAATATTTAGCACAACTGGAAGAAAGACAAAGGCTACTGGGTTGAAAGGTGCCTTTTTTTATAAACTGTTTCTCAAGTTTCCTAACGATGCCGTAACTGATTCATAATAATCGAGCCAATGACTTCCGGGGGAGGAGCCTGTCATCGTCGGGAGCTCAACGGAGCTCTCCTCAGAGTTCTGGTCTGTAAATCTAAAAGATCTATAGATATCTCCCCTTCCAGCCGAGGAGGGGGCAGGGAGGAACTCAGTGGTTAGAATTCTCTTTGTTGTTCACAGCCTTTTGTTTTTTGCTGTGAACGGAAAGGAGGTTCAACATTCAAGCTGAGGTTTTGTTTTTTTTACTCCAGCCAGATCTTCTCAGCTGTTTTTTTTTCAGCTCAAGGCAGGTTGNGAAGGTGAAGGAGAGGAGGAAGAAAGTAGAGAAGAGAGGGAGGGAGACAAGAAAGGGAAAATAAGGTGGTGTTTCAACAGGAGGAAGGGATGGTAAACAAAGCAACCCAGGCTGTATATTATAACCTATTAAATGAAATAATAAATATATAAGAATGATAAATGTAAAGAAGAATAACAACTTTGTGAATGTATACTTAAAATGGTATGTAAGAGAATACAAAATAGAAAAATTCCTGAGGAAAAAAAACAATAGCCAAGAATCAAAGGGCCACAGCATAAATTGCTTTGTTGATTATAATTACGTAAAAACAAGGCAGTCAACCTTGATTATGCCAGCATGAACATGCAACAATAAATATTTTACTTTCAATTCATATTTTTTGCCATGTACATTTTTATTCTGTACTGTTTATTGTATATTGTTTATTGTATATCACACATTATTTCCTTTTAATGCTATACTAAACTCCCTGGGGTTTAAATTACAGAAATTAAATAAATCATAGCAGAAAGTGTGGAAATTGTAGCAACTCTGTGCACTTGCATTCTCTTGTAGGTTGCGTTTGACATGACTGAATTGGTCAAGTGTTGAATATGAAAGGATAATATCCCCTTTTTATCAGTGGGGGAAAGGTGCAAAAATCCATTTGTTCGGATTTTGCCCAGAATCTGTAGAATTGAAAATTCTGTGTATGCCACTGTCAAATTAAGTGCACGTAAAGTTGGATGCCAAAGATTTCATTCCATTAAATCCTCAGTAGATTAACTGTAGATAAATTTCTCAACATCGCAATGTTTACCCAACCTAAATATCCAGAGCTTTTGAGGTGCTCTCACCAATGTATAAACAGGTTTTCTTTCTTTAGAATGTATATCAAACTAAAAATACAGCAGCCTACGGGAATTTCAGCTGCACAAACAAACTAACCTCAGGTTACTGGAATCAGAAATTGTCATACATCAAAGTAGGCAACAAAGCACACTTTCAAAACACCACCACTTGCACTTGCCAATCCCTCAAAAATGGTTTGAAACTGACTTGTTGCCCCTTACTCTTCAAATACTGACAACATATTGAGCAAATCAAAGTTTTTTTCCAGCTTACCAGCTGGACAGTACAAAGAACAGTCCTCAATAAATGCCCCATCTTAATTAATTAATTAATT